TATAATAATGTCCGTAATGTTCTTTAATTAAAAAAAAAAAAAACAGAAAGCAGAATTGGCTGAAGCCTTGCTATTGTTGGTTGGTTGGATTTATGGGTAAGGTCAGTGGCCAACAGGCTGATTAAACGATTTCTTTAATGTCATTAAACATTCACAAAGTAGCAGGCAGAACTTAAAGCAATGTCTCTCGATTCTTGGTAAGCCAGTGTTTTTATTTATTTATTTTGTACAGTGTTATTCACTCTCAAGAAGCCGAAAGATTATTTGTACCTTCTACAAATTTCTCAAAATTAATGGAAACTAAATCATGGGATCTTACCTCTATTAGCAGAACAAAGTCCTAAAAGAAGGCAATGTAGTTTATTTTATTTAATGTTTTATTTATTTTGACAAAGAGACAGAGAACACAATGAGTGGAGGAAGGTCAGAGAGAAAGAGAGCAAGCAGGCTCTGTGCTGTCAGCACAGAGCCTAATGTGGGGCTCAATCTCATGAATCGTGAGATCATGACCTGAGCCTAAATCGAGTCAGAACTTGACCAACTGAGCCACCCAGGCACCCCGATATAGTTTAAAGAGAAAAGGTCTGCTTTGGAAGTTGAGGCAGTCTTCAAAACCTAGCTCTACTGGGCATGTCACCATGTCACCTAGTTCTACTGGGCATGTCTTTAGCTCTTCTTTTCCTAAACTATAAAATGTGTATAAGAATCTCTAGGTATCCAACCCCAGTCCCCAGTGTTTTCTGTTAATGACAATGTGTGTGAAATCTAGCCCTGGACCTTGCACATAGTCATCTGTTGGCTTTGAAATAAAAAGCATTATTCAAGGTGTGTGTGTGTGTGTGTGTGCACGCGCATGCGCGCACGTGTGCGCGTGCAAGCACACACTTGGGGCTGAAAATGCACTGCTATCTTTTTTACATGGTCTCTGTAACAAATAATTTTGATACGGCAATATTTTTTAACTTCACCATATTATATGTGGTGCCATTCTCACCCTGTCCCCAACTTGGAATCACAAATTGCAAATATTTCTTTCTACTCTAAAGGCAGTTTTAACAGTTCAACTTCCTAACATGTTGCCAATGGAACACACCAAAGGAGAAATGTGTGACAAGTGAAGTTTGCTTTCAGGATTCTTGCAAAACAGAACAACTTCGAGTTCAGTGTTGGAAATGCTCAATACCATAACAAGCAAAAATGGGAAGATCGAATTTTGAGCTTACATTGCAGTGATTTTCCTCCTGAAGAAAACAGCTAAGGTTGGGGGGGGGCAGGTTGGAGAAGTCAAGAGGGAAGATATTTCTCATCTAAAAAAGCACAGAAACATATAGAGTGGTTCTTTAACAGCAAAAACTGCGACCCTTTGGATTTTAATCTTTTTTTTTAAATTGTGTAGATCATAGTGGAATCCAAGGGGAGTATATTTAGTTAAAATAGGCTGCATCTTGAGAACTGAGGCTCTAGTTGAAGTCAGTTATGTTACGTATTAGCTGTGTGACTTTGGGTAATTCACTTAACTGCTTTGATTCTAGTCTTCTTTTCCCCAAAATGCGGTCACAACAGCCTGACTACTTTCTAGTTTGACTGTGAGAGTCAAATGATATTGAATATGTAAAATGCAAAGTACTTTTTGGCAAAGGAAGCTTTACTATTACCACTATAACTACCACATTATAAGTATATTATCGCCATTATAATTACCCAAGTTTTAATTCCTTTAAAAGTAAATGCTTGTTTTTAAGCATTTGTTTTTATGGCCACCTGAGATGAAAATATTGTTCCCACTTCCCTGAATGAATAAGGAAATCCTAGTACTGCTGCCAGGAAGACTGTGTTTTGAGGTTAGAATTCTGTCCCTTGAAGTCCAGTTCACTGCACTTAAAACACACTGCATGGAACTGAAGCTCTTATTTAAATATGGCTCTGTTTTTAAATATGGGGCTTCCCTGGGGTGCCTGGATGGCTCAGTCAATTAAGCATCTGACTCTAGATTTTGGCTAAGGTCATGATCTTGGTTCCTGGGATGGAGCCTTGGTACGGCTCAGAGCTGAAAGTGTGGAGCATGCTTGGGATTCTTTCTCCTTTGCCCCTCCTATGCTCATGCACTTTCTAAACAAACAAACAAACAAACCAAACTTTTTTTTTTTTTAATGTGGGGCTTCCCTTAAGAGAAGGTCCACATAGAAAAGCCCAGAACAACCAAACAAGATGCCTACTAATATCATATGCATGTACATTGATTTAGGGTTTTCTGGCTACTTCCTCTTTGTTCTTCACATCAATCTGTGATTCCATTAAAGCTGTCTACGTGAAGCATAGGAAGAAGCTCATGAAAGACCAAGTCCGCCAGCCTCTATATAATTGTACGAAGTGATACCTTGATGTCTGAGAGGTTGGTTGATTCCCCCAACATGTGCAATGGTCTCTTTTGTCCCCTAGTAGCCCAGAGTTAGTCGCTCCTTTTATTTCTGTCAACAACACTACCTTTTTGTTCCTCTTCCTCCAACTAGGAAGTGCATCACTGACACAGACACAATATACCTTTTCATAAGGAAGGCAAATGAGTATGTGCCAGATGGGCTGAGGGGATTACAACATGTTTCCTGCTCCCGTGGTGACTCAATGGGGCTGGTATGAAAACTTATCTTATTCAAGAAGTCAGCTTCCCCGGCAGAATTATGAGTCACAGTTCCTGGGTAGAAAACTCGCTTTCCAATAGCATTGGGGGGGGGGGGTGAGGGACCTCCTTGGATGGAGTACAGTAAAGGTCATTCAGGAAAGTAACACGGCCAGGATGGCTGGGGGACACCAGCACCCACGAACCTCTGAGATCTCACTGATCTCTCAACAAGCCTAACACGGTCACCTCTCCCTTAACCTTCAAGGGGAGGCAGGACATAAAACCACACTGATGAATTACTGGAATGAATCCAAACAAGTCCCATTATAAAACTGGCCAATTTGGGCAAAAGGGATGTGAAGGGACTTTTCTCCATCCATTTATGAAATACATATACAGAGAGAGTGCCTACTATGTGTCCATGTACCAATCATTATTGTAAGTATTTGGGTAACAAACAAAGAAGACAAGTCCCTGTCCTTGGACAGCTTACAAGTAGAGAAATTGGGAAGGAAGGAGAAAGGGAAGGGGGGGTGGGTAGAGAAAGGAGAAGAAAAGAAAGGATGAAGAGGAAAAAGAGGAGAATGGAGGGGAAGGAGGGGGGAGGAGGAGACAAGAGCAAATTAGTATAATGTCAAGAAATGGTGAATGTCATAAAGGAAACTAAAAGTGGGCATAGGAATGCATGATTGGCACGGCTATTCTAGTTAAGGCTGTTAAAGCAGGCCTCCATAAGTAGATAACATTCAAGCACAGAACTAAATCAAATAAGAACTGACTATAATCAGTGATTATATTCAACATATTTAAAAAATCAGGACATCACAGCACTGACCAGTCACATGAGACACTCAATCAAGCAGGACAGATGCTGGTCTAAACAGTCAGTAGATCTGTATATTAGTGGTTCCCAGCTGTGTATCATCTAGGTTAGTGGCTATGCTTTCCTTGTGAAAAGGGCCAATGAGGTTGGAAGTTATCTTTACTTCTCTCAGGTTTGAGTTGTACTCTGTCCTAGTTACACCCTTTCTTTAGTGCTATTTTTGGTTTCAAATAAAATGCTTTAAGTGGTATAGAAAAACGGAAACACATCCAGAAAAGATAATCACGATGAAGAGGGCTCAAATCCATGCCATGCGAAGAACACAGAAAACACTGTCATGGTGATATGATCACTATGTTACCATTTTGGAAGACTTCTCCCACAGGAGAGGAATTAAAGTAATGGTATTCAAAGTATTGCCCATGGTCTTCAGGGGACTTATACATGAGAAGCTTCTTCAAATGAAGATATCTAGGTTCCTTGTATTAAAATTAGAGCACTATTGGATTGGGTATTTTTTACTTAAATAAAGCAGTTGAACCACAGAAATGTGGAAGTGACAGAAACAAATCTCAATTATATATACTAAAAAGGTTTGTAAGAACTTGGTCAGTCCAAAGACATATGGGCTGCAATGAGATGACCTCTAGTTAGAGTTACCATGGAACGGTTCCGAGCAGTAATTCTAGAGATAAGAGGAATTATGAAAGGATGAACTTTCAAATCCCTTGTGAATCTAATTTCATAGGATTCTGTTCCATCATGACTGAGTTTGGCTATTCAAACTCAAACAGCTTTGGCTGGCTTCTCTTAAGAAGCAACACCAAGGGCCACCTGGGTGGCTCAGTTGGTTGAGTGTCCAACTTTGGCTCAGGTCATGATCTCACGGCTCGTGAATTCCAGTCCCATGTCAGGCTCTGTACTGACAGCTCAGAGTCTGGAGCCTGCTTCAGATTCTGTGTCTCCCTCTCTCCTGGCCCTCTCCCACTCATTCTCTGTCTCTCTCTCTTTCTCTCTCTGTCTCTCAAAAATGAATAAACATTAAAAATTTTTTAAAAAGAGGTAACACCAAAAGGGTAAGAAAATGAGCCTAATGATAGATCCTTTCTTTCCTAGATAGAAGCGGTGACAGAAACCTATCATTATTCATTTGGTCTTAAAAGGCCTCAATGGACTGTTAGCCCCAAGGCCTCCTCCACCGCCTCCTGAAGTTTGGAAAACTTGCTACCATCTCTGTCATTTCTTGTCCCATAAGATCTGAGGTGAACGGAGAGAAGCCAGACTCCAGTTGGCTTGGGGGTGAAGGAAATGGAAAATTCCTATATTTGGACATACCAGACCACTGCCCCAAGTACACTGTGCCCCTTAAAGACTAAAGTTGTCAGTGGCTCCTCCCATCACCAAAATTCTATTTCTGTCATATCTGTGATTCTGTGGTACCACAGAAGACAATGGATATAAATGTTATTTCGTCTTAACTCATTTTTCAGAAAGAGTTGACATATTACCCTATAGATAATCTGTACTTTAAAAGACTGTCAAAAGCCATTCACTCACCTGAGGCATCACTTTGTAGGATCCCAAGGAAGTAGAGACTCATTACACACCACAGAAGTCCCATCCTGTCAACATAAATACAAAATTAAGGGAGAGTACGTATCACTCGCAAGAGTTTAATAATTACCGCATATGCACACTGACTATGGACAGGGAACTGTTCTAACATGTTTACGATCTTAACAAATTTAATTGCAGGAATCAACCAATAAATAGTTTATTTTTTTTAATCACCCATATTCCAGATAAGGAAACGGACACAAGTTTGAAGAAGATAACCAAGATCCTTCACCTAGAAAATGGTGCAATAATGGTCAAGCTCCAGCAGCCTGGCTCTAGAACAATCTCTTAATCATTCAACCACAACCGCCTACTTAAGAAAAATATTCCTCTAGAATGTTTTCATGAGGAGTCACGTTTCTGGCAGATAAGTGTGATCTTCTTCCCCTCCATAGCATTCTCGTGGTCTGTCCCAATTGGAAATATTTTATGATCTAGGCACTTCTCCGTCTGGAGAAATGATAAATAGAAAGTCTAGAAATCCTGGATTCAGACTTGGTTTATAGTCCACTACACTCTGACTTTATAGTAGGAGGAAATATATAAACCTCATGCCGTCCTGTGCGTGCTCTCCTCTTTTCCTTGGAAGAGACAAATGATGAGGTTGGAGTGTGGTGTCTGTGACCTTTGGCCTTTCTACTGGTAACCAGTGGCAACAGCCAACTAGCAGGAACTATGCCCTTACATTTGGTTGTGTGATCTCTAGTACAGAAGGCCTAGAGATTCAGTAGTCCTGTGAAATTTATTCCCCTACTGCCTTAGACATATCTTCCCCCTGATAAATCCATGGTAGGGATATAACTACCGATACCTGGATATTTCTGAAAAATTCCATATTCAAGGCTGTCACTGTTTTGAAAACAGCAGCCACACACGGGTGCTTATAGAGGTTTTGATAATTTGTCCAGATCGCGTTTCTAGTAAGTGACAGAGATGGGGTTTATACCATGTCTGGCCAACATTAGCCTATGGCACAAGGTTCACAACCACAGGGACCCAAGAATCTAAAAAAGGGTTAAAAAGGTATTTGATAAATAGGGTGGCCATATAATAGCACTTTAAATGAGACACCCGTAAGAGCATGGCACCAAAAAAAGGTCTAAACTGGTACTGCCTAAGCAGCCCAGGGCGCATGGTCACTTTAAAGGACAATGCAAGCTTCCGGTACCTGACACCTCTCCTGACCACAGATCACCACAAATCTCCAGTTCATATTGTGCTCTCTCCTTTAGCATGACTGTTCAAAAACTACAAGTGAGTTTATTATATCCTAAATAACCATTTTAGCTCAGAGATTTAATGTTTCTTTCTCACCACCACCATTCCCTTCCAATTCTTCTATCATTAATTTAGGGAACTCTTCTATCCGTCATTAATTTATTCAATACAACATGTGTTGACCACTTCCTGTTTACAAGTCTCTATGATACAACTGCAGGGGCTTATTGTAAAGGCATTTCTTCCCAGTAGAGGACATAAATCACTACAACGTCACAGCTATGAACAAGACACATGCAGAAGCACTATAAGATATACAAAGATTTATCAGACAAGTTCGAGCACTAAGCAGGTCTAGCAGAGACCTAAAATGTGTACAGAAATAATGACAGTACAAAGTAAACACTGATAAGCAAAGAGAGGAACAGATAAGTGTTATGGAAGATTAGCCAAAGAAAGAGATTACTTCAGTCAAAGCAATCAAAGAAGACTAAATACAAGAGGTAGCTTTTGAACTGAGCGAGAACTGAATTGAAGCAGAAGGAAAATGGAGAGAAGAAACTCAGTGGAGAATAATGTTCACAGATAGGAAAAGCATGGAACATAAAAAGGAAATAGTCTGTAAATAATTCAGTTTGGCTCAAGCACAGGGAATTAGTAAAAAAGTATAAAGAGTTTGTTGGAAAGCAGGGAATGTTAGGATCAGATTCCACCGAGGCCTTGAACAGCAAGCAAAGGACTCTGGATTTAATTTACACAGAAGATAGGGAATCAATGAAGGTTTCTGATTGGAAGACTGACGTGGTCATCAAATTGTACCTTCTGGAGATCATTCTTCCCGGGATGTGTTGAATGAATTGCCACTAAATTCTGTCTTGAAATCATTTTGTCTCCTGAGCCTGTCATCACAGTAATTGTTTAACTCCTAGCTTTGTGTCATCTATAAACTTGATCAGCATGCCACCTATGTCCTCGTCCAAGTCATTAATAAAGGTATTTAATAATTCTGCATTAATCACTGTCAGTGGAGAGCAACTAGATATTTCATTGCAGATTCAGGGCACAGTAACTCGAGCCTCAATACTCCTTGTGCGAAAGCACTCTACCTCCCAAATTGCTTTTGGCTATAAAAAAAATAAAAAACAAAACCAAAAGCTCACACCTCTAGATTTTCCCAATTCGCCTGTTTATAAGCTGCTGGATTCCTAGGGCAACACATAGAAGACATTCTAATTAGTGTGATCGAGGGCCTTAATTGATATTCCCCTGAGTAACTGGATTATTCCAGAGGCAGCAAGGCTCAGGTCATCAAGGTAAAGCCAATCTAAAGATAACCCGGGTGCAAACACAAATCCAGGGTCAGCGCTGTCCTGTGATGAATTAGAATAAAGCAGACTGAAAAGAAAATGTGATTGTGCAGGCTGGTTCTGACAGTCTGAAGGTACCAAGGTTAGTGGGAGGAGGTTGGCTGGTTCATTTAACATCATCTTCCATTCTCCCTCGGAATTTTATTATTGCGACTAGTAATACATTTTTGGTTCCTGTTTCTTGGGGAGAGAGGGCGCTGGATATTTGCAGAGATGGAAAAGCTGTCAGAAAGCAAAGGAACCTACCTAATCACACACGGTTTCTCATGGTCTGAATTACAGCCCAGCTTTAGACTATTGCCATGGCATTTAACAGACTTGGCCCTTGCCTCAGATGATTGAAACCTACAAAAATAAATTCCCAGTCAGCCTTTTCTGCACTACCCACTTCACCTACTGTAAAATCATTTTCATACGTCCCCTCTTAGGTATTAGTACTTCAGTCATATTTAATTCCACTGTGTCTTGCTGTATCACCTCAGATGCCAAAAGAACCTGGCAAAAAGTCTCACATATGTACTTATTTTTACGTAATCAACAATAATATTAATGATGATTGTTAACATAAGATCAGCACTTTAACACCTACCCCTGCATATGAATCATTCCACTGTCTGCATTTTCTAGGCTTACCAAGCTTCAGGATCCCCTTGCCTCTGAGTCAGCTCTGACCAATGATTCTCTCACAGGGCCAGCAGGTGACCGGCTGGCACTAGAGCTGTACCCCCAAGCTGGTATTATCCCTGAATCACATTCGCCTTCCTCCTGCACTGTAGCATTTCACCAGGCCACAGAGCTGGATTTCCCCCTCAGTTTCCTGATTCCACATATAGCCCATACCTAGAGCCCAGCCACTCTTTGAAGCCCAGCAACATAGCTGAAATGTGGACCTTCAGCCTGGACCTTCTTTTCCAGAAGCCTGAATTTTGTTCCCCGTAAGGTCTTGCTCCAAGCAAGATAAGCCTCCTGTAACCACAAAGTTGCTATGACCTGCTTCATTCCCATTTGACAGATGTCCTTTGCTATGATCTGTCCACTGAAAACTTGGCCGTAAACACCAAGCCACAGACCCTACATGGTCATCTCCATGCCGGGGCAGCCCTGCAGCCAAATCACTTCCTTGAGTCCGGATCCCATCCAGATCCTAACTTACTGATAAACTTAATAACTGTACCTAACTTACTTCTCTAACTTACTAATAAAGTTTGAGTAGATTTTGCATGTATGCTCACCTAAGATATGACAAACAAGTCTTTAAAGGACATGGGAAAAGTTATTAATGACCCCATTTGACAGAAAGGGAGAGATGGCATTTATTAAGAAAGTTATTTTCACCATCAATCTTTTATCTAGTTTACGGTTTTTGAACCTTAAATGGATGCTTGTGCACAATACTTCAGAAAAGAATATTTATCAGTAAACAAAAGTATCAGCAGAGTGACATGGAAGACTCATGATGAGTGAAACAAAGAAAGCATAACCCACTTCGTTTCTCTTAATGAATGCAGCTAAAAACCTGCACAGTATGCATAAGACAAGTCTATGAAGACTCCACAAAGTAAATAAAGCACACTCTTTTCAAGTACACATAGCACATTTACCAAGATCAGCTATATCATGAACTATAAATCAAACCTTAACAAATTTCAAAGAATTGAGTATATATTCTCTAGCTATCGAATTAAACTAAAAACCAATAAAAGAAAATGACAGGGTAATACTCAAACACTTAGAAATTCAGGTATATACAGCTGAGCCTTGAATAATGAAAGGTTATGGGTGTTGACCATCCACACAGTCTAAAATCCATGCATAAATTTTGGCTCCCCAGAAACCTAACTACTAACAACCTACTGTTGACAGGAAGCCTTACCAATAATACAAATACTTGGTTAACACATATTTTGTATATGTGTTATATGTGTATATATAATGGTATATGGTATATACACATGGTATATGGTATATACAATATTCTTAAAATAGAGTAAGCTAGAGAAAAGAAAATGTTATTAAGAAAATCATAAGAAAGAGAAAATACATTGATAGCAATGTCGTGCATTTATTGAAAGAAAATCTGTGTACTGGTGGATCTACACAGTTCAGATCCACGTTATTCAAGGGTCAATTGTGTGTCTAAATAATTCATCAGTCAAAAAGAAGACTGTTAGAAAATAATTTAAACTGAACAAAAATGAAAACACAACATATCAAAGTGAGTGAGATGTAGCTAAAGCAGCATGTAGAAAATAATTTGTAGTATTAAAAGCTTTATATTAGAAAGGAAGAAAAATTTGAAGTCAATAATCTAATCATCTACCTTAAGAACCTAGAATAAGAGTAGAAAAATAAAGCAAGCCAACTGGAGGAAATGATGAAAATTAGTGATCAAAAATTTTAAAAGAGAAAAAAAAATGAAG